ATCAGTGTGCTACAACAAAATTATTGCTGAATCAGTAAACTGGAGAAGAAGCAATGAAGGAAGCAGCACATCGGCAGCCACTGTTACCTATCAGATGGGTGCCATAATAAAAGGAAAGCAGAGAAGGGGGAGGTCATTTAACTGTGCAATTCATTCCCAGTTCTGCCCAGTTCCAGGTCCCAGTTCTGCTCCCACATCCCATGCAGTCTCAAGCTGGCCATAAATAAATCGAAATTTGACCAGTTCAGCAGGGATAGGCCAAATTTCAATCCATGTATGGCCATTTCCAACTGATTTCTATTGAACTGGAAATTTTGGAAAAACTTGTCGATCAGCAGCTGCAGCCAATCAGCAGCAGTCATTGATCAGTGTATTCCGACAGCAGAGAGTCTTGCTGTCAGAATACAATGTTGTAGCGGGGAGGATTCCTCCATGTAAATAAATATTAGCGGTTGATAAGAGCAAACCTGCCATAAAGTGGTGCATTACGAATCCTGTGCGGAGTAATAATCACTAAATTAGTGAATGCAAATTGTATTTATTAAGATCACATGGATCATGAAAAGGTAGACCTTATATCATGGTGAACATATGTCATTCATAAAAATAAAATAAAAAAATAAAAAAAAAAAAAACGTTCTGGGTTTTCCACTTAGCTGCATATATGAAAAATAAGCCAGATAAAATAGGTGAAGACTACGTCTGTATTCATTATGGAAAGTCCATGTAGAAAATCCAGGTATATGTAAATCTTCCGTATTTTCAATCTGTATCTTTGATCTTTAGATTATCAGAAATTCCTTCCAATGCCTCTAACTTAATAATGAAGGTATGAGCATCAAAACTTCTGGAGAAAAAATGGATAATGAATACATAAAGTCCTAGAATAGGCTAAACTACTGTCATTGGCTTGCTAAATCAAGATGAATCCTAAATAGCCACAAAGGCATATAATGAATGATGTATAGGAATATTACCTTCTTGAGGAATCATCAACATCATACAGATGAATTATGGTTGATTCACAGTGTATGGCCAATCTCAATCGGCCGATATTCTTTAAATGAAGTATTGTCATAGAACTGCAGTGATAAGGTTTCTAAAATGAACATTTGTTAATGTACCAATTGCTAGAAAGACCGTGGAAATAACCAACTCATTATATAATTACCATAATAGAGATCATGTTGTTGTCACTGATGAAATCTGTATAAATTCTTGAGTTGAGGAATGGTATATTTTCCTCTTTATATAAAAAAAATTAGTTTGAGTATGTTAGGAAAGTCTTGATTGTGCATGATAGCACTAAAACATTCAAGTGATTTGCCAGCAAATGCTCCAAAAATGGCTCTTTTATGAGAGCAAATGTGGTTCCTTATAGGGATAGATAGGACCGATGTCCCATTTTGCGTAAAATGCTTGTCAGATAATACTCAGAATTCACCTATATGAGGCCCAAAAATGTCTCTAATATGAGAATACTTGAATTCCCAGTTGCAGCATGAGATATACCAACTCTGTATCACTATAAATAGCAAGGTATGACTTAGCTGTATTCAGGGGTACTTGCCACCAATGGAAGTGAACTAAGCCACTATAATTTGCAAGAAAAACTCCTGGGAGTTTTGTATATTGGTGGTTTTCCATCTTGCCTCATGTTTATCCAAGATGGAGATGCATAACTTGCTTCTTTCCTCTCATGGACTCCGCAACATGGAAGGACGCAGAGCGTGATGATGATGTCACTACGTTCACACATTTCGTTCGTCAATCATCGAGGACTTTGTCAGAATTGGGAGGGGATAACTTGTCTATTTCCTTTTATAGTGCGGTATTTGCACATTTCCATCACTTTTTCACCCTCGTGTTGAAAATTTATCACATTGTTAATCCAAATTAAATTAAAAAATCAATATGATTGACATTGAGCATTAGAAAATGGCCATAATAATGGAATAAAGTTCAGATAGTGTTTTTAAATAGATAAATTACATCAGATGACACTAGACTTAGAGTTATTTATTTTTAATATTTTTAAACAATTATTTATTTTCCAAAAAATTGTTTAAATTCTTTACTTCATATTGCAATGATCATTAGGGGTTTATTTCAAGAATATTTTAAAATGTAATTCGGTATTTAAACCATATGGTATTAGAGTCCCCAGTGTATAGATCCAAAACTTCTCCTTCTGTAGGAGTATATTGTCAAAATCTCCTCTCCTAGAAGGAATATTTAAAAGAAAAATACCTTTTACCTTTAAGCCATCAGTTTTATCTTGATGTACCTCATTAAAATGTTGAGCCAGGGGATTTTCTCTTTTCTTATTTTTATTCCTAGATTAGTTTTTAATATCCCTTATATGTTCACCAATATGAATTTTTAGTGATCTTTTAGTTTTTCCTATTTAGAATTTTTTTATATTGGCATTCAAACATATAAACTACTCTACTAATAGAGCAGTTTATAACATTTTTAATTTCAAAAGTTTTAGAGTCATCTACATTGTGGAATGTGTTGGTTTTATGCACATAAGGACATATCTGACAATGGCCACATGGATACATTCCTGTGGTCTTGTTCATTTTAGTTAACCAGTTTTCTCTAGGAATCTTTCTGAATTCTGATTGAACCAAAATGTCATTCAGATTAGAAGTTCTTTTAGCGACCATCTGTGGCTTTTCTCCTACAATTTGTGCTATCCCTGGATTCATAGTTAGTAAATGCCAATGAGAGTCTAATACTTTCTTCACTTCTTTCCACTGTAGTCCAAATTTAGTTATGAATTTTACTGGTTCATTTAATTGTTTTTGTCAGTCTTTCATATTTTTTTCATAGCCTCTTTCTCTAAATCTTTGCTAGATTTGTATTGCTTCTGTTTGAAATTGAATTTCATCTGTACAGTTCCTTTTAATCCTGAGGAATTGGCCTACTGGAATACCTTGTATCAATGTTTCATGGCGATGACTGGTGGCATGTAGGAGTGAGTTTGCTGCTCTTTTCTAAATGTCTTTGTTATCAATTTATTCTCAAGGACTGAGATGGATAAATCCAAAAAAGGAATCTCTTCATGATCAAAAATATATGTTAATTTAATATTTCTATCATTTAGATTCAAATTTATTAAGAAATTTTGCAATTGTTCGATCTCTCCATCCCAGACTACTAGAATATCATCAATATATCTAAGCCACAGAACAACATGATTTGTAAACATAGGTGATGTATAAACTAGGTCCTCCTCCCATAGTCCTAAGTGAAGGCAGGTATAGGCTGGGGCCCATGGGGCTCCCATAGATGTACCACATATTTGTTGATAAAATATACCCAAAAATTGAAAACAGTTGTGTGTGTGGTAACAGAAATTCTAGAAAGTCAAGAATCAGTTCATTTTGTGCTCCCATTCCTGGAAATTGTGCCTCCAAAAAATAAGCTATTTCTCTCAATCCCCATTTATGGGGGATTGAAGTGTAAAGAGATTCAACATCTATACCAACCAGCAGTGATCATCTGGGGACCACAATATCTTCTATTTTAGATAGAACATCTCTTGTATCTTTAACGTATGATTGCAGCCCAATTACTAAATCTTTAATAAGATTATCTACAAAAGTTAACCAATTTTTTCAAGAGGGCATTTATTGTTGAGCATATCATATTCTTGTTTAGTCAAGAGGTTTGCTTCATAGGCCCAGACAATTTTCCTATTTAGAATGATAACTATTTTAGGAAATGGATTTTCATATAATCAATGATATGTATTTAGATCGTTTAATTGCCTCTTTATTTCTTTTTTATAGTCCTCACTTTCCATGATAACCACATTTCCACCTTTATCGCTTCTTTTAATCACTATACCTTTAGCATTATGTAATTCATCCAGGGCTATTCTTTCCTCTTTAGTAAGATTATCTGAGTTCTTTTTAAACCAAATCAATTTTACGTAGGTCATTGTGAACTAAATCCAAAAAAAGACTAAGCCATTTATTCTCGTTAATATTTGGCATTCTTTTTGAGGATTACTTTTAATCTGGTGTGTCTCTTCCACTTATTGGAAATTGTTCTCTCTTTTATTTCTTCCTCCATTATCCCTTTGTCTAAAAGGCCTAATAAATCTTTAATTGCTTGTTTTTCAGCCTCAGAATTAAATCCAAATTGATTAGATTCATTTTCAGCAATAAATGGAATCCTTAATATTTTTCTCAAAAATAAATGTAGGTCTTTTAAATACTTCAAAAAGTTCCATTCCAATAGAGGGGGAAAAAGATAAACCTTTCTGTAATAGGGCATAATGTCTCTCCTCAAGATTAAAATTAGATAGATTTATTACTTTAAGATCTTTAACGTTTTCATTAGTTGTAGAATTTATGTTTGAATCTATTTCTTGTGACTCCTTGTTCGGTTTTGATTGGTGATTTTGGGGGTATTTGGAGTAGTTATTTAGTCTTTTGGTGATTTTGTATGTTTGTTCCCTTGTTTTGGGGTCGCTATATTTTCCATATTGGTTTTTTACTTTTCTAAAAAACTCCCTGTTTTCTTAGTAATATTATCATCATCATCATCTTTTCTAACAGAGAATCCTGGTCTATTTTTACAGGATGGATATCGTTTCATAAAAGAGAAATTTTTGGAGCCTTTGCTGGCAAATCACTTGAATGTTTTAGTGCTATCATGCACAATCAGGACTGTCCTAACAGACTCCAACTACTTTTTTTTTGATATAAAAGGAGAATATACCATTCTTCAACTCAAGAATTTATACAGATTTAGATTTCATCAGTGACAACAACATGGTCTCTATTATGGTAATTATATAATGAGTTGGTTATTTCTATGGTCTTTCTAGCAATTGGTACATTAACAAATGTTTGTTCATTTTAGAAACCTTATCACTGCAACTCTATGACAAAACTTCATTTAACCACTTTCCGCCGCCCGCCCTATTATACAATGACGGGCGCAAGGTGGTTCTCTCATTCTGATAGGACGTCATATGACGTCCTACCATTCTCACTGCACATGCGCGGCTCAGGGAGCGTGCAGTGCGGCGATCACCGGTGCGCTGTGTCCCTCGGACACAGCGGATCATGGAAAGAGCCAAAGATCTCGGCTCGGTCATGTGATCAGCTGTGTCCAATCACAGCTGATCACATGTAAACACGGAAATGTCGGTTATCGGCATTTCTCTCCTCTCGAGCTGTCACGCTGACAGCTCGAGAGGAGAGGAGAGCCGGTAATCGGCTTTCCTCCGCGGAGGGGACATGTACACTGATTATCAGGGCACTGATTATCAGTGTGCCCTGATGATTAGTGTGGCCCCAGAAGTGCCACCTGTCAGTGCTCATCAGTGCCACGTGCCAGTGCCCATCAGTGCCACATCAATGCCACATATCAGTGCATACCAGTGCACATCAATGCCACATATCAGTGCCCATCTGAGCTGCCTTTCAATGTCACCCATCAGTGCCAGTCAGTGCCACCTATCAATGCCAATCAGTGCCACCTATCAGTGCTGCCAATCAGTGCCACCTATCAGTGCCAGTCAGTGTCGCCTATCAGTGCACATCAGTGCCAGTCATTGCCGCCTAACAGTGCCAGTCAGTGCCGCCTAACAGTGCCAGTCAGTGCCGCCTAACAGTGCCAGTCAGTGCCGCCTAACAGTGTCATGTATCAGTGCTGCCTTTCAGTGCCCATCAGTGATGCCTGTCAATGCCCATCAGTGCAACCTACCAGTGCCTCCTCACAGTGCCACCTATCAGTGTCCATCAGTGCAGCCTATCAGTGCCCATCACTGCAGCCTCATTAGCGCACATCAGTGAAGGAGAAAAATCACTTATTTACAAAATTGTATAACAAAAACTAAGAAAAAAAGTTTTTTTTTCAAAATTTTCAGTGGTTATTGGTTTGTTTAAGAAAAAAATAAAATCCCAAAGGTGATTAAATACCACCAAAAGAAATCTCTATCTGTCTCAAAAAAATGATAAAAATTTCATATGGGTACAGTGTTGCATGACCGCGCAATTGTCATTCAAAGTGTGACATTGCTGAAAGCTGGAAATTGGCCTGGGCAGGAAGGGGGTAGAAGTGCCCTGTAGGCTAGTGGTTAAAGAATATCGGCCGATTGAGATTGGCCATACACTGTGAATCAACCATAATTTATCTGTATGATGTTGATGATTCCTCAAGAAGGTAATATTCCTATACATCATTCATTATATGCCTTTGTGGCTATTTAGGATTCATCTTGATTTAGCAAGCCAATGACAGTAGTTTAGCATATTCTAGGACTTTATGTATTCATTATCCATTTTTTCTCCAGGAGTTTTGATGCTCTTACCTTCATTATTACATTAGAGGCATTGGAAGGAATTTCAGATAACACTGTTCAACAGGTAAAAAGTTTTGGGCATAAAATTAGCTAATCTTACATAATTTTGGGGTGCTGAAAACGAAAATGACCCTAAAAAATGTTGATTGGTTCTAGTTTCCATGATATATTCACCCATCTAATGACGTAAGCCATTCAAAATTATGATGCAACTTCAGCTGCATATTGCGCAATTGATACTGGTGACCAATAGAAAATTGCATGTATACTGAGATGATGCAATATTAGCCTTTAATTGCATCACTTCACTGCATAAAAGCTGCAGTATCTGTAGCTGATTGTAGTTCGACAGCGTCTTTACATTTCGTTTTATGCTTATATAGGCTACTCAGTAATGCCTCGAACTTGTGTGAATAAAGCAGATAATTTCTGCTATATCTGCGGTGAAATAACTTTTATCTCACAAAAAAGGAGGATAACAAAAATGATTAAGAAAGCCTACAACTTGTATTTTGGCTGCAAGATAGGAGACCAGGACAAGAGCTGGGCACCACATATATGCTGCAATTCTTGTGGGACGGCACTGGAGCAATGGTTGAATGGAAAAAAGGCATCTATGCCTTTCGCTGTGCCAATGATTTGGAGAGAGCCAACAGATCATGTTAGTAATTGTTACTTTTGTATGGTGCCTCCAATTGTAAAAGGGCTAAATAAGAAGAAAAAGTTATCTGTGCACTATCCAAATATTCCATCGGCAATACGTCCAGTTCCTCATGGAGAGGGGCTACCAATTCCTAAAGCACCAGAATCCTTCGTGGTTGAGTCAAGTGAGGAAGAACCTGAAGCGTGTAGTCATCAACCGTCAACCTCACATGACCCAGACTTTCTTCCATCCACACCCACTGAACCACACCTCATTACACAAGTGGAATTGAGCGATCTTATCAGAGACCTGGATCTTCCGAAGAACAAGGCAGAGCTTTTGGGGTCAAGACTACAACAGTGGAATCTCCTAGCAAGTGATGTTCGTATGCTTCCATCAAGACATTGCAGCTATGGAAAGAAGATATCAAGGTAAATGGAGCCCATCAATGCTTGCTGACTATTGCTGGACAGTTGTAAGAGATAGCCCTTTCCTCGAATACAAGAGAAAAGCCAAGAGAAGCAAAACCGACACAAACTGAAGACAAAACTAGTGAGAATCCTAAGTATTAAAATGATTCAACTTAGCTTATGGCTATCATTTTTCTTGGTAATCCTATGCAATATATTATGCCATTTAGGCTTTGTTATGTAGTCAATATCACTTGCTTTATATTTGTGGAAAGACATCTATCTATATAATTATTGTGCATTATGTAGTCATTACGCCTATAGTAGAAAACTTTCCGTTTACAGAAAAACTAGAGCAAATTGACAAATTTCATTGTTATATTTGAACTCAGAATGTGAAATTCATTAAGAAATGGATCCTTTTGTTTCCAAAACTGGCAAAAAATAAAAATTTGTTGAACAGTGTAATCTAAAGATCAAAGATACAGATTGAAAATACGGAAGATTTACATATACCTAGATTTTCTACATGGACTTTCCATAATGAATACAGACGTAGTCTTCACCTATTTTATCTGGCTTATTTTTCATATATGCAGCTAAGTGAAAAACGCAAAACATTTTTTTGTTTTTATTTTTTTATTCTGTTTTTATGAATGACATGTGTTCACCATGATATAATGTCTACCTTTTCATGATCCATGTGATCTTAATAAATACAATTTGCATTCACTAATTTAGTGATTATTACTCCGCACAGGATTCGTAATGCACCACTTTATGGCAGGTTTGCTCTTGTCAACTATATATGCTAATATTTATTTATATGTTTTTTGGTTTAAGAATCCACACCTTATAAATTGGTAAGTTGGGAAATATTTATGAAAGGGTGATTACACCCAGCTTTTTATGGCATTTTTTCTTTAGGTATAAGGATTCCTCCATGCACCTCGCTTGCCTCCTGGATGTTCGCAAACAGGTAATCTATGGCCAGCTTCACATCTGAAGCGGAAATCCCTGTATTGTAAAAATAAGACACCATCGCACATGTAAGCCTACAAGGTAGACAGGTTACACATTTCTGCCACATGGGACGCCATTCAACCCACTGGCCTCTACCCAACATTGCAAAGTGAAACAAAAAACAAGAAGCGCATTACCTCAGTAACAGAATTTATTAATAGAAGATAGGTACTCACAAACAGCAAATAAAAAATCAGGCATGTAGTCCTCAAAGGGACTTCAAAGATAAGAAGCCAGCGCGAATCCCATCATGGGGGTAGACACTCAGTATAGCTGATGCGTTTCGAAGGCTATGCCTTCTTCCTCAGCGCTCTAAGGAAGAAGGCATAGCCTTCGAAACGCGTCAGCTATACTGATGGGATTCGCGCTGGCTTCTTATCTTTGAAGTCCCTTTGAGGACTACATTCCTGATTTTATTCACGGTTTGTGAGTACCTATCTTCTATTAATAAATTCTGTTACTGAGGTAATGCGCAAGGTTGGTGCGCTTCTTGTTTTTTGTTTCACTTTGCAGTATCGATCGGGCTTCCCCAGCCCTGTTTTAGAGCTGCACAACCTTGAAATATACTAGTGGTCGCTTGCTCTGGTGTTGGTTCCATCTATTTGCCACCGGTCTGGGCCCTAGAGCGCAGGAGAAATCGCATCTGCTCTACCCAACATTGACAGATGACTTCTGGATGGACTGTCAGTCTAATGGACATCTAGATGTTATGATCATTAGTATTGAAACAAAGTTTTGTTGCAAAATCACATCCTATATTTCCACTACATGGCAAAACACTGCAATAACTTTGGTGAATTATTCTTTCCACGTTTAAAAGGCTTCACTACAAAAGCTAATGTGTTGTACCGTGACCGCTAAATGGTCCCCGGTGAAATACTTGTAACGTGCATGCTTCCAGGAAACAATGTCATCATCTCTCTGCCGTTGTGAGTAATTATGGGTCACAGATATAATATGCACAAGCAAGCTCCGAACAACACTGCATACATAATGCATGATCATCTATTTCATGATTATTTCAGTGTGAACAAACATTTAAAAGCTATTATGCAAGACATAAACCGCTGGCCTGTATTTATAACACCATCCAGCACATTCGTTTTCATGTGCCTGCTAAACACACGGCTAAAAGGGGTGACCACCTCAATTTGTATTATGGTGAATCGATTCAAAGAAGTAAAGGCTTCCATTATGCAGTCATGGGGGAAAAAAAAAAAAGCGTAATCTCATCTTCAGGATCTTGTTGGTACTTTCTCAGCACTGTCAGTGGAAGGAAATTAACAAACAAATAAGTCTCATCTTACACTTTAAAGTACATGCAATGGATTTGTTATTGGTTTTCTACATTTAGAACTTAAAAACGGAAATTTTGAACCAACCTTAGGTGACACTAAACTCTGGTTTAAAAAAAAAACAAAAAAAAAAAAACAAAAAACTGTTCAAGTATGTATTCCTAGCTCAAAAAATACCTTATATTGCTCTCAGCCTCCAAATCTCTCATTTCCTTTTTTTTGGTCTTTTTATTTATTTGCTGTTGTGATCCAACTTTCTGTTAGAGGGTGGCTACATTCGTTCTCCATGGTCTCACTATATGTAGGAATGTAGCCACCCTCTTCATGCTCGCTACAAGGTTGGGCTATGAACTATACACTATGGCAGGGGTCTCCAAACTTTCTAAACAAAAAGGGCCAGTTTACTGTCCTTTAGCCTATAAAAGGGCCGGACTGTGGCAAGCAGAAATAGAAATGTTTCTGGCATCTTTGGGTGTAAACAGTGCCCCATCTATGGTATTAGGGGGAGGAATGGTACCCCATTACTGATGTTAGTGGTGGGAATTATGCCCCACTGTTGGTGTCAATGGGAAGAATCGGGTCTTGTTTCAGTGGGATGAATAGTGCCCCAAGGGCCAGATAGAGGCAAGTAAAGGATCTCATCCAGCCCATGGGCCACAGTTTGGAGACCACTGGACTATGAAATGTGTAATGTGCATAGAGCAGTGCATATGACCACAACCAAAGTGTGCCGCTCATTCCAAACAAGTGGAAGTGAGTGGGGAAAAGGAGATATTCAAGAGCACAGAGACAGAATAACACAGTAAAGCTGGCCATACATTTGTAGATTTTCAGACAAGAATATTCATAAGAAAAGTGGTATGAAAATTCTTTAAACATTCAATGAATGGACGAATTTCATTCAAAAATGGTCTTT